ATACTCAGCAAGCTCCACCCCCTTACCTTTTAGTGCCCACACAAATATTGCTCCTCTGAGAGATCTCCCAAATAGACCTTCACCTAACCCCAGTCCAGCCCAAGCAAACTTCAGTCAGAAGTGTAGACTGATGCCTGTCTTCCTGCACTGTTGTGTCAAAAGTATTTTGTTATTATTGTATCCCATTACATTCCCATCCTGTTTTTTAAATATCTCTATTATATCTTTATATTTGTCAAAGCCAAAAAACACATTTTATTTCTTTGTGTTTTCCAGTTCTAGTATAATGCCCTATAAAAAACACACTTAGGAAATATTTGTCAAAGATGCTTCATTGAAATTGTCATAGTTCTGGGTTTGAAATTATATATTTTTTACTTCATCTATCTCTACCAGTCCTTGTGTAGCACAGATAAATGAATGCCCTTTCAAATGCTTATTAATAATTTCATGTGAAAGCAGCATTGATCAGTAACATTAATCTTTCTTGGAAAGTGTACAATTTTTTAGAGATTTATTGATGAAATTCTAATAGTAATATTTAATTTTTCTCACAGTAGTATTTTTTTCTAAATATATGACATAATATGAAGCTAAACATTTACCTTTATTTATAATGAATATAAGTAATTTTTATAGGAAAACTAAACTTGTTATAAAAATTGTTATATATCAGTTGAAAAATGACACCATTTTAAAATCTCAGGAGGGGGCTGGGGTTGTGGCTCAGAGGTAGAGCACTTGCCTACCATGTGTGAAGCCCTGGGTTTGATCTTCGGCACCACATAGAGATAAATAAAATAAAGATATTTTAAAAAATAAATAAATAAAATCTCAGAATTTTTTTCACTTTTTTTCATCTTTTAGAAATCACAATGAAGTTATATCAAAGCCACTAAGATCAATAGATTATATAAATTTATCTTATTTTTTAAAAAAATTGTTTCTTCTAATAAATTTTTAAAACCAGATTTTAAAATATAAGTGATCAAGCTTTAATTAATCTTATCATTTACCATCTGAATTTAAAGTAGCTCACACTTAAGAGACTGCGTTTGATGCCCGTGGTCATATGTAAGAAGTTTGTATTTAATTTCCAAGTTAAAACTGTAAATCTACAGAATTAACTTAGTCATGTTTTGACTTGTTTCTTAAAGTCTAAGGGGAAACTAATCTAGAATTTTTAATTTCTCCATGATTGAAAGTGTTAAGTAAAGGATAGGGGAAAAATTTGTGTAATTTTTTCAGTAAAGATTTGAAATTTTACTTAATTGGAGATTTTTAAATAATCATTCTTGATGATGGGGTCTGAAGTCTGGCTCAAGGCTAAACTTGTCTTCCCATCAAAGGAGAAAATGACATGATGATTCCAATACCATTATAGTGTTGTGTGATTCTCAAGTAGTGACAAGCAGAGAAGGGAAAAACAGTTGTATTAATTCCATCTACTTATACCACTCTTTTAAATGACAGACTTAATTCATGATCATTTAATCTTAAAAGTAATAACCTTGAATTGCCTAACCAAAAAAAAAAAAAAAAAAGGAAAGAAAATAAAAAAGAACCAGTGACTGAGGCATCAACATCCTGGATCAACATTCACAGAGGAGAACATGAACTGGGTTCTCCTTTAGCTATCTAGAATTTCTGGCAAATAAGGATACCCATATTCTATAAATTTTAAACTCTTAGCTAGGTAATTTTAATAAATGTCAAGTATTTTAAATAAAGTCAAATACAATTCAATAACTTTTCTATATATTTGATACTAAAATAACCAGATTATTCATGGTGTTAGACTTCACACGTTTCCTTATACATCAACTTTGCCATACTGAAAATCTATCAAAAGTTGATATTTTAATGAATATGTTCTAGGTGTTCACACTGCCTTTCCTCCCTGAAAATTTTTCAACCAAAAATTATTCTTTTATGTAACAAACCAATATTTTTATAACAGGTATGATTAGGCTCAAAACAATCCATGTGTCAATGCTTTTTTGCAGACTTTTCAAGCTCTTAACCAGTTAAGGGGTGTTTGATAGTTTGAAAATTCACAACAATATTAAAGTTCTTTACATGTTACTTCCAATATTTTATGAATTCCATTTTTGGTCCCAGAACAAAGAACTTTTGGTGACATTGGCATATTCTTTCAGAATTAATTTCTCTGCACCTTCATGAGTACTTAGCACCCAGTACTGTTTGGTGGAACACTGAACAGAAAGGTCCCAGGAGCTGTGATACGTTTCTGTGATATTAAATGAGAGTAATTAAACAATTCACATTTTTATTCAGTATCCTAACATTATCATCAGCTCTGTTCTAGGAATGAATAGTGGCCATACAAGTGCATTATAAGATAATAGGGTGTGTAAATACTAGTTCACAAGATAAGCAGGTAGATACTGGAGCATAGACTCAGTTTAGTCCATTTATTAGGCCATACTGTGGCCAAGCACTGTGCAAGATTGTTGACCAAACACTGAGATGTGATTCCTGCCTTGGAAGAATTCTACCTAGTTGTAATGGCTCTGGGATGTGAGACTCTCATAAAAGTAATTAAGTATATTGTCACCAACCTTGAGAATCATGTGGAGTACCAACAGAAGTTTCTGCAGTTGGGGAGTGAGTATAACAGAGTGGCAACTAAATAAACACACTATAACCAAGCTGAGAATGAACAAAGTACAGCCTTTATCTCAAGCAATTTCAAACTATTTAAATCATTTTCTTGGGGGAAATGATGTATCCACCCATTGAGCTATCTTGGTGTCTCTGATTATAATTCTTAGACCTTATTTCTGGAGTTAACTTTAAAAAATATAGTTTTAATCATGCCACCTCATGCTTTAAAACCTTTTGTGTAGTTCCCAATTGCCTGTGGCAGCAGTTTGCAACCCTTTTTCCTGCTTTGACAATCAAGCATGATAGACAATTCATGCTATTCATCTACAATTCCATTCAGATCCAATGCTACGCCCAATGTTATATACCAGTTCAGGTGTGCCAACTCTGCCTCATCTTCTTAACTCGAGAAGGCATATCATAATACACATGAGTGAAAATGACATCCTCGTGAGCTCAGGTGTATTTCAAAAGTAAATTGTTCCAAAACTCTGTGCTTTATTGCTACTTATCATGTACTTGCAGTATGCCTTAAGCATAATCATAGCATAGGTCAAAACACAACAGCTGAAAACTACAGACTCTCATTGTTAAATGTCTCATTGTGTAGTATACAATGCAATAATTTTCTTCTCTGATTTCAAAGCAGATCTCAGAGTTGGCTTATCCTGCCCCTTGCCTGCCCCCTCTCCCCAAAACACCAAACACAAACAGGATTCCTCTCCAGTTTTCTAAACATCTTGAAACACATTCTGAAATCATAAACATCCTCCTGTGTTCTGAGTGGACTATTCTCTGCCCTCTCTATACTCAGCAAGCTCCACCCCCTTACCTTTTAGTGCCCACACAAATATTGCTCCTCTGAGAGATCTCCCAAATAGACCTTCACTCCACCCCTGTCCAGCCCAAGCAAACTTCAGTCAGAAGTGTAGACTGATGCCTGTCTTCCTGCACTGTTGTGTCAAAAGTATTTGGTTCTTATTGTATCCTATTACATTCCCATCCTTTTTTAAAAAAATATCTCTATTATATCTTTATATTTGTCAAATCCAAAAAAACACATTTTACTTCTTTATGTTTCCAGAATCTAGTATAGTTTCCAGAAATCTAGTAAACACACTTAGAAAACACACTTAGGAAATATTTGTCAAAGATGCTTCAGCAAAGGTTGTTGGCAGATTGGTCTACTCTTTTTATTGATTATACTGTTTTGTTAATTTATATTACAGAAAAATTAAATGTGAAAGATAAAAATGATTTGAGTAAAAAGGAACTTTTTCTTTTTATATATTTGGCAGAATTATTTTTTTAAAGTTCTTATTCTCACCTCAGCATCCTCTCAAGTTTTCAGGAGCTGATCATACCCCCGAGCTTCCCTTCTTTCATCAGTCATTTTAATACCTATTTTTGAGGATTCCACTACATGTTGCCACATCCTTCAGAGGGTGGGAAGGAGAAATGAGACTAGAATTGCTATTTTTCATCATCTCTGTTGAAGTATTTGAGAGGGAAAGAAATATTGGCACTGATACAATAGCTTTCTCAGTAACCTTCATAATTATATATCCTTAGTTATTATACCAACTCTGTACCTTGTACCAGATTATTTATGAGTATGTTTAGAAAAGGGACTAACACAAATAAACCCTGGTCTTCTGTGAGGATAAATGTTTTCTGATCAGAAATGAAAATAACTTGGAAATCATTCACTCTCGATGCTTTTTTGTTTGTTTTGTTTTGTTTTTTCCTTTGTCTTGTGGTGGGCAACAATGAATTACAGAAAGGGAAAGAGTGTCTCATTTTTATAGGTACACTAGGAGAAATGAGATTCATATCTTATATGTTCGCTATACAAGCGATAATCAATGAATGGTTTGTTATGAGTGCTATTGTATATTGAACATCCAGAATTTACTCAAAAGAGAGAAGAGTGAGAGAAGAAAGTGACAGACTTACTGCCCATTCTTACTATTTCTTTACAACATTTAACCACTTTATATTAAAACGATGCCATATCTATCATTGCAATAGTTTCCAAAGTTACCAATTTAAAGAAAGAATCATATCAAGAAGGTAGAAGTTTCAAATTGGCAGGCAGGCATCTTACTAGAGAGAGAGAGAGAGAGAGAGAGAGAGAGAGAGAGAGAGAGAGAACACAAATAACTTCAAGACAAGTTTACAGGCACTTGGAACATTTCATAGCACAAGAAGCTACTTAGCATGTGCATGTGGTATGATTTACGTAGAGCACGGCTTGACAATTTCTTTGCATCTAGTGATGCTAATGCATGAGCTTTTTATGCCCATTGTGAATATTGGTGAAGTTATCCCAGTTTTTGTTTTTACTCTAAATGTATGGATTTATCTTTTAGATTTCCATGTAGAGGAGGCACTGGATTGGCCTGGAGTTTTTCTGTTGCCAGGCCAGGTTTCTGGGGTGGCTCTGGACTCTAAGAATAACTTGGTGATTTTCCACAGAGGAGACCATGTCTGGGATGGAAAGTAAGTAATATTTTTCCTTCACGGCTTAAATGAAAATGAAAAGTGGTGTATATCATTATTATTAAAGTAAGAATGATGATGAGAAGACTATTATGTTGATTTTTCATTTTGATTTTGGGGCTGGGGGAGGAACACTATACAAAATGTGTCTGGTACATCCATCTAGAGACATGCAAACACTGGATGGCTCTCCTTATCTGATGTTAGTCACTAGTGATAAGTTTTCCAGGATTCATTATTAACAAATGACATGCAACATGATGGTATTCTAAGTGTATTGAAGTATATCTTTGATTATTTCTTCCCCTCATTCTCTAATTTTAAAATCCAGGAATATGGTTAAATGTATGTTTTATATTTGCACATAATCCTACATATTCTGTACATGATTTTTATGAGAAAAATATACTTATATCTTTATTCTTTTAATGTATGACTGTGATCCTTACTAGAGAGGAAATCTTGTGCATTTTTAAAACAGAATGGCCTCACCTACTAGTTTATGGAAAGAAAGTTGTACCAATCTTCCTCCTCCTTGAAATTACCTCCTCTTCCCAAGGGGAAAATATTAAAAGTAGTCCATTCTGTACTTGCTAAAATATTTCAAGACTACCAAGAAGTTAATAATGATAAACAACCATCTAAGGAAGGTTACTGGTACATTTCCTGTCCTAATAAAAAAATGAGTCTGAGTGCATTGGGCTGTCTCTCCATCATTCCATGGCACACATAACAATTAACCTGGATACTATGATTGGAGCAGTTTGGCCACCACATGTGTGCAGATGGTCAATACCTTGGCCTTCACATTTTGATGTAGATTAATTTTTTTACTAGAATTTGTTCTTTTAATGAGCACCAAAGAAAATGAAGGCTGTCTTATTTTCCTGCTTTTTCCTCTGGGTTGTCCTTTCATTCTGTCTTCTACTATCTCTTTAGAGGGATTTTTACTGAAAATGCCCAACACTTATTGAATGCTTACTGTTGGCCTACCAGTGTTATAAATATTTACATAAATTGTCTTATAACAGGGAGTCTCTGTTACCACTCATTTTTCAGATGAAAGACCAAGTATTTTCCCAGTGTCACGTTAGCAAATGGCAGAGTCTGGCTTCAGGTCCTTTACATCTCACTCAAGTGGGCCCGCTTAACCAATTGGTGATACTGCATTTAATAGATTTATAAGCACACTCACCTGATTGAATTTTGAAAACTTTCTTCCAAAATTTAACAGGTTATTTTAGTTCTTCTTATTCATTTATTTCACCACAAGTTTACATTTGAAGGTAAAATTTAAAATATCTTATTAATTAAATCTAACAGTTCTTCTCCTTTCATGCTTAAAACCACAGAATCTCATTTGGAATACTGATATCTACATGTATAATTCAGTTTTATCCACTTTCAGAGATGTTGATCAAACTTAATTATGTTAAACTCACTCTGCTACATATACATATATGAAGTATTCTTTATGCACTTGAAGATGGAATAGGGCATCATTTCAAAACAGATTGGTAACTGTTATCATTTAATTGTTCTTTCTAGTTGTCACACTTGGAAGTGAATTCTGAGAAAGAGATTATTTCAGAGTTCAAAGCAAACAATCAAACTTAAAATTCCCATTCATACATCATCTTAGTTGTTATTGAACATCTAATGGTATTTTAACAAGTGCTTTTAAAAGCAAACTATCACTATTCACTGTGTTGTACTCGTCATTTTAATGAATATTGCTACATTTTCTGCATGGATTTCCAGCCACGTTTTACCAGACAAGAAAATTACAGCATCATTTTCTCCCATTGATACTGTTTCAGCTGGCTAAAACTAAATTGGACAAAATCCAAGTTTCCCTTTTAACAAGATATTCATTCCAAGTAAGCAGCAGAAGCTGGAATAGTTCAGTAGAAAGAGAGATCCATAAAGACCAGCTTGGGGTAGGAGATGACACACAGCTATGAAAAAGAGCCATATAAGAACATTTTCTGTGGCTTATGTGGCAGTTCTATCTGAAGAACTGATTTTTTCCTGGCACCTAGTTTTCATCTGGATAACCAGTATCATGTAGTTGTTTATTTCCATTTCATTGCCAAAGCCCTGGTGTGTTCACCCTGGCAAATGGCATCAACCAATGGGTACCATTGAAAATGCAATGCTTTATAGTGAACTGCTGATTTTATTCATTAAATCTGTTTTTTCTTTCTACTTCATCTTTATCTGTCAGATGTAAGAACATTCATTATCTCTCATTCTCTCTGTGTTTCTGGTATTGCATGTTGGCCTCTGGCTGTCTTTGTAATCCATAGTTTTAAGAAAAATTCTTTTTCAACCCTCAGATTTCTGCTTCCAACCCAGTCCCTGCTTTATTATTCATGAAGAGAATTGGAAGTGGATTATTCTGTAATTATTTCTTTAAGAAAATAAATTTGTATTTCTTCAAAAAAAATTAGATGTGGCTCTGTTGTTTGGTCATGCAATACCATCCTATCTACCTATCTATAAAACTGTATAAATATGTTACTCTGTATTAATTAGAGTACATATTTTTCCTTCTCCATTAAAAATCCAAGGATTGTATGAAGAAGAAGACAGCACCTTCCAGTAGAATATATGATGTGCTAATGAGGGACAATGTAAATTAAAGATTAGGTGGAAATCGCATTCTTATTGCTATACTGTTTGGACAGAGTAGTGAGAAATCCTACTATCGATTTTTCTTAGAATCTTTCCTATCCTATTTCTTAAGTTCAGAAAATTGTAAATTCCATAAGATAATGGCTTGCTCTAAATCAAATCTAAGCACTCTATACCCCATAGTTCTTAGGAGATGATCATTTTTTTATGAATCAGACAGTGGTTGGAGTTAATAACCCCTAATTAATATTTAGTACCCCAAATTCCTTTGATACCATTGCATCAACTATCTTTATAAATACTATTACTCATCATTATTATCTGATAGCCCTGATCAGCTCTTATTCTTCTACTTAACCTTTGCTAAATGAGCATGGCAACTGAAGTAATATTATTAATAATAATAAACCACTTAATCTCCTGAAAAATGATTGCCACTTCCTTGTCAATTTGATTTCCATTTTCCTCCCATATGTACCTAACTTCAATATGGCTACTCTAAGGAGCTTCTTCTAGCAGAAGTAGGAAAAGCCTATGGCCAGGAGGGAATAATGAAATTTTAAAGAGCCTCTTGTCTGCCCTGATGTTAGGGCAGCATGGCAGCTCCAGCTCTTTAATCATTAAATTCCTCTCAGCAGGGGCTTGGTAGCACTTCTCTCAGTAACAGCTGTTCCTGGGACTCTATCTTAAAATCAGGACTGCAATCAAAGCCTTGCATCTTGGCCTTTCTTTCTTATATCTCTACTGTGGTTGGGTTGTATCAAATGGAATCCACATTACACACCCACTTAACTAAACTATGAGCCTTGCCATGGATTTGGGGGTGTTTAAAGTTGTGTCCTTTATTTCATTTGTCATTTCTTTGCAGAAGTTTGGAAGGGACCTTAGAAGTTGAGTTGCCTAAGATTCTGTTACCAGTAAGAGAGAAAACCCAAAACAAACTAGTTTAGGGAAAAAGAAAGTTTTTTTGTTTGCATAATGAAAACTTCAAGAACTGTGGTGGCCCTAGCAACATCACCAGGATCCATTTTTCAATTCATTTTCTCCTGGTTGGCTCCATTTCCAGATTGATTAATGTCCTTCCTTTCCCCTCACAGCTTCAGCATCACATTATTTCACTAGTCTTGAAGTAAAGAGAGCCTACATCCCTGATAGGGGAACAAAAAAGTCTAGGTTGAGCCTTTATAGCATTCCTTGGTCTGATTTATCTCTTCCATCCTTGAACTAGTTATTGTGAGTGGAGAAATGAAATCTACTCTTTGGCTCAGCCTGACTTGTTCTCCTTGAACCTGAGAGTACAGTCGATACCATCTAGAGTAAATGGGCTGAGAGTAAGGCAAACAAAGAATGTTGGGTCAGCCAAACAAAGGTTGAGGTCTCATTAACATAAAACAGTACAGTGCACACAGAGATCCTCAACAGGAAATGTCCACCAGAGGGTTATCTCCAGCCTCCCACTTAATGCATACATTTTTTTCTATACTTGTTCTATGCTTGAATATTTTGATGGCAAGAAATTCTCTAGACGTGGATATGTATCTCTGCTGTGGCTGGGTTGTGCCATGCATAACTCACATTACATAGCTATTAACAACTACGAGGCTTATCCCTAATTTTTAGGTGTTATATAATTATGAGATCCATTCAGATGTTATAAAGTTCTTCGTTGTGTTAAACTTAACTCTGAATTCACCCTTATGGCAATAATTCAGATGGATTTGTTCCCCTTTTTCCATGTTAAATATTTGCATTTTTGAAGAAACATGTATCTTCTGTATGCTTAATATTTCCCAGGTCCTCAACCAGTGTTCATGCTGATGTGATTACTTTCATCTAAGGCACTTTGGCTTCTCAGGGCTTTAATGTAGTCTAGAAGTGGCCAATAACTCATATAATTTATCTGGTCAGTGATGCTGTGATGGCTTTCTTTGATGTGGATTCTAGATATTAGTATTAAATGATTGGTTTTAAATGATTGTATTAATCTCATATATGTTGCGTTATGTTGAATTTGTAATCTCAGATCTTTTTATTTCATAAAATTATGCTGAAATTTTTAGCAGAAATTTATATGTATATGGTGTTTTTAAAAAATCAAATTCAAGACTTTATTCTAATTATATTTTACTTCATTAGATTTAGCATTGCACTTTTTCAATTGTACAGATGTTATTTTAATCCTGATTAACCAGAGGTTAAGCTATTTCTTTCAGCCCTGTGTTGTCTGTTTGATAAGCATGTTTTTTATATCTTTATAAGTGTTGTTTATAAAATATGAATACCTGAATGGTTGATTTTACAAGTTTTGTTCATAGAGAATTGTGGTCACAAACCATCTCTTCATCAATTCTCTGTGGAATTTT